AATCTTCTTTTGACATTATTGTTACATTTTAAATTGTATAAACATAAACAATATAATCAGTATAATATATTAACCGATATATACTGCTATTCGTAAATAAGAAAATATTATTGTGAGTTTATATATGACTGTTAGATATTGTTTTTCCTTGTGATTGTTCGAAAAGTTATTAAGAGCAAATATAACCGCGACAACTCTCTACCATTATTCTCATTGCTTCGATAACTTCATATTGTGTGGCACAAATTTGCAAAGTCTCTTTTTTCTCTCTTCGAAGTCAGTAAACTTTTGAAGTCAGTAAAGCGAAGTTTTGTGTGAAACATAATCTTTAAATATTAATTATAATGTCAGTTGAAGAGGCTAACAGAAGGCTACCATATAAGAAACGTACTTTTTCGATTAAACAAAATTTTGAAACGTGTCATAAACAAGATAGTGATCATACAAAACATGAAATGGCTGCTAAAAATGTTTGTCAAAATATTGTTAGTAATATTGAACGTTCTCGAAGTCCAGGAAATCAACCAATCGAACAAGTATTAAATACGACCAGACGTAGAACAAGTTCATATAAAATCTTGAGGGAGAGTTACATACGTGGTACAAAGAATCCGAAAATAAGATTGACTTTGAGCAATTTAAGGCTAAAGGATTCGATCTTATGCAAAAGTATGCTGCACCAAAATCGTTTAAGGCCAGATTCCTGTGGCTTGATCGTCGCTTCAAAGATTTCAAAACCCAGGAAAATTATTCAATCGAACAAAAAGTATATCTGGAAAGAATACATTTTTCTTATAAAACTTTAAAGAGCGAATTATATAAGTGGTTCCGACAGTGCGAAGAATCCGATAATATGATTGACTTTGAGCAATTTAAGGCTAAAGGATTCGATTTTATGAATAAGTATAATGATGCACCAAAATTGTATATAACCAGATACCAATGGCTGCTTCGTTGTTTCGAACGTTTCAAAAAACAGAAATGTCTTAAACTTGCTAAAAATGTTATTCAAGAGTTCACGCACCGATTCGGGGAGAACATTAAAAAATATGTGTATATTATGTTCAAAATAAAATTCACATGGAAAGGTCTTCTTACACCGGAAGGCGTCAAGATAATTGGCATACAAAAATTAAAAGGCTACCTAAATGTTATATTTTGTACAAATATTACAGGTGACCATAAATTATCACCATTTTATTTTTATGACTGTATAACGCAAGAAACCCCTAAGGATTTAAAACATATGCCTAAATCAATGCCTAATGTGCATCAAATGCCTAAATGTACATCAGAAGATGAAAAGCAAAAAATTCTCACAGATTGGTACAATAATCATTTTGTGGAATTTGTGAAAAAACGTCAACAGGAAACAAATGTGAGCGAGAAAGTGCTTTTAATAACTTCGGAGAGTATGCTTGCAGTTCATGCAAAAAATATCACGCAAAATGACAATTTCGAGTTTATTACAGGAAACAATTTGTGTTCAAAAGAATACGATAATTTTAGAAATAACATACGTCAGAGAATAGGAATCAAAAGTAAAGAGGTATTTCAAGATTTTTGCAAATCTTACGATATAAACGTTTATGTTACAACGATTGACAAGACATGGGATAACATTCGGTGTGAATATATCATAAAATTATTTAACAACTTATTGTCAGATTTGTGTACAGAAAAAAATACAACATCTTCAGTTAATCAGACACCAAAGTTAATTATAAATGTAACTGAAGAAGATACCACACTTAAGGAAATATCAGCACAAGTAGAAGAACAATCAAAAACAGAAGAAGTGTTGGAGAATACAGAGAAGAAGTTACCCCTTCAGATGATATAATAAAAGATCTCAATTCTCATAAAAAGATAAAGAAAAAGAACATCAAAAACAGCAGGATAATGATACAGCAGAATAATAAAGAAATTACAGGTAGAGTAAATACAATTTTTATAAAATCAAGGATTTATGTAAATAACGATTGTATTCTTTCAGACAATTTCACAAAATGTTCGAACTTTGGCCAAAAAATCGATGGAAGAGAATGTCAACAACTGGAAAGCACAGGATCCGCAGATAACATTATAAGTGTTGAAGACAATGTAGAATCAAGCCCACTAAATTTAGGTAACAAAGTAGAAGTACACGTAAAAGACGTCCTTAGGGTAATGGAATCATCTGATACGAGTTACGAGGAGGCAAATTTGTATAGTTTTTTGGTACATTATAGTACCAAACTTTTGATATTTTGATATTTTTGATATTTTTGATATTTTTGATACTTTTGATATTTTTAACACAATACGCAAGATGGAATATTCAAATTTTATATATAAAACTTAATATTTAATATTTAAAATTTAGCTTTGTATTACTCATTGTTAGCTGCAACTGTCAAATGAGTAATGTTTTTTTTTGGCGAAACGATTTTAATTAGGATTTAAAATTAATATACATGATGATATGTATTTTATTGCCGTTAATAACTGCAAAAAGTTGAAATATTCATAAAGATCTCTAAGTATATGCCAGAAAATCAGTTTCTAGAAAACAAGAAAAACTTAAGAACATATTAAATTTACCCTACAACTTTATGTGAGGAAATAGATGTATTTTTATCGCCAAATTTATTTCATTGAACAAAATTTTAATATTAATGTTTTAATATTCACTAAAATTGAGAATATGCAGATAGTTCTTAATTCTGTTTATACATATATATGTATATAAGCAAAATGTTCTAATTTTATTTGCAAGTTTATTAAATAAAATACATCAAATTGATTCAAACGACATACTTTTTTTTAACAGAAGAATATAGTTTATTCTTGTGTATAAAAAAAATGTTGAATATTTTAATGCACATTAAGAAACTCGTTATAAGCTATAAAATATTTGAAATGATATATATTTTTAACACATTGATGTAAACTCAAGAAACGTTTTCATACTCATGAATGTAATGAGATATCTGGTATTACATTTGCATTAAACAAATATAATTATAAAATATAATTATATATTATTATATATTATATATATATATATATATATCTTATTAAATATAATAATTACATATATTTTATATAGTATTCTTAAATATAATAATTTTATTTGTACATTATAAAATTTCTCATATTTCATCTGTTTAAATGACTCAATTTTCACTTAATGTAAAATCTTAATGAATATAAAATAACTACGAAATAAATAATTATGCACATATAGAGTACAGATTTTAAGAATTTCTTATTTAATGAAGAATCTCTTGTTTTGTTTTAATTTCTTCCATATCTTTGTATTTATCTCATCATCCTTTTCTTCAAAGTTCTGTTTAACATTAGAGAAGAGATTTTAGTTTTCGAAATAAATCTAAATAAAAAATATTAACCCAAACACAATTTAAAAAATTACGATATCTAGCAACACTGAATTTTTTATTAAGAAAAAAAAATCTTGAAAAGAATGTCTCTCTCACCTGTCGGAACCATGGCTTCTCACTTTACCTGACAGTAGAGGCGGACCCGTATTGTAAGCAAGCTCTCAGTTTAAACATAGTATTTAATACATAGATATTAAAGTTTTTTGAATCTTTTCTTGAACGTTCAACATTTAAAAAATTTTTTTTGTATTTTTGCTACATATATCTCTTTAAATATTTTTAACTAGGATTTTATACTTATACATATTGTATATTAACCAAAAGTTTAAATTGAAAAATTGAATTTTTGGCATATAAATTTTAATAAATATTTACTCTTAAAATGTGGACATTTGTATATATTTAATTTTAGCAAATAGTTATATAATAAGAGATTTTGTTAGACAGTCATTATCCATATACGCTTTTAATATATTATATGTGTATGTATAGATTATTTCAAAATGCAGTGTGCACTTTTGTCATAATTTTCTTTTGACATTATCGTAGAGTATCACGCACCGCTTTAAATACGTCGAGACCATGTTATAATTATACCGTTTAAGTTAGGATAAGGCTGTGCACCGTCGGATCGAATGGATTCGCTGTATGCAAAAGCAAATTTATCTATGTCGTTTAATATTCGAGTTCAATTCCGCCGCGGGATGTCCGCGTTGAGTTTGATTGCGTAAGCTGCATTAATGTACATTAATGACACCGAGAGTTACTAACAAGCTAACGATTCTGAAAGGATTCTCAGCGAATCGCGTGTATTTCCGATATTAGAAGAATCAAAAATCTAGAAACACACTAACAACTTTACATACAGGTTAATTTTAATTTATGAATATATACAATACACATCATTTAATCTATTAAAATTAAATAATTTAATGCAATTGTATAATATATAATTTATATCTGTGAGTAACTAAATCATGAAAAAATTACTCATTGCTAAACCATAAATCATAAAAATTGACACAATATGCAATTTTTGCTATTTTGCCAAATGGATTACAATACAACATGATGTGAATTTAAAGAGAATGTATTACAATTTTCATTGTTTTTTAAAAGTAATATATTAAACTTGCATTACACGAATAAAATCGTTTTCAACACACTATTAAATAATTCTTAAATTGTTAAAATACAAAAATAAGTAAGATTTTATTTTTATACATTAGAAAATTTTACTTCTTGCTTTACAATTATTTTTCATCATAAAGTATTCATTTATGTTAGTTTTATATTTTTTAGACACAGTTTTCATGTATTATAGTATCAGTTTCTTCTCATATTTATCAAATAAACAATACATAGCTATTAAATACATAAATTGTATTTTTTAGAAACATTTTTCAATTAATGAAAAACTAACGAGGTTCCTTACAGATTAGTTCTCAGTTTTTCCGTACAATTTTTTCATAATCTTCTTTTGACATTATTGTTACATTTTAAATTGTATAAACATAAACAATATAATCAGTATAATATATTAACCGATATATACTGCTATTCGTAAATAAGAAAATATTATTGTGAGTTTATATATGACTGTTAGATATTGTTTTTCCTTGTGATTGTTCAAAAAGTTATTAAGAGCAAATATAACCGCGACAACTCTCTACCATTATTCTCATTGCTTCGATAACTTCATATTGTGTGACACAAATTTGCAAAGTCTCTTTTTCTCTATTCGAAGTCAGTAAACTTTTGAAATCAGTAAAGCGAAGTTTTGTGTGAAACATAATCTTTAAATATTAATTATAATGTCAGTTGAAGAGGCTAACAGAAGGCTACCATATAAGAAACGTACTTTTTCGATTAAACAAAATTTTGAAACGTGTCATAAACAAGATAGTGATCATACAAAACATGAAATGGCTGCTAAAAATGTTTGTCAAAATATTGTTAGTAACATTGAACGTTCTCGAAGTCCAGGAAATCAACCAAACGAACAAGTATTAAATGCGATCAGACGTAGAAAATGTCCATATAAAATCTTGAGGAGAGAGTTACATATGTGGTACAAAGAATCCGAAAATAAGATTGACTTTGAGCAATTTAAGGCTAAAGGATTCGATCTTATGCAAAAGTATGCTGCACCAAAATCGTTTACGTCCAGATTCCTGTGGCTTGATCGTCGCTTCAAAGATTTCAAAACCCAGGAAAATTATTCAATCGAACAAAAAGTATATCTGCAAAAAAAACATTTTTCTTATGAAATTTTGGAGAGCGAATTATATAAGTGGTTCCGACAGTGCGAAGAATCCGGAAATATGATTAACTTACAACAATTTAAGGCTAAAGGATTCGATTTTATGAATAAGTATGATGATGCACCAAAAGTGTATAGAACCAGATACCAATGGCTGCTTCGTTGTTTCGAACGTTTCGAAAAACAGAAATGTCTTAAACGTGCTAAAAATGTTATTCAAGAGTTCACGCACCGATTCGGGGAGAACATTAAAAAATATGTGTATATTATGTTCAAAATAAAATTCACATGGAAAGGTCTTCTTACACCGGAAGGCGTCAAGATAATTGGCATACAACAATTAAAAGGCTACCTAAATGTTATATTTTGTACAAATATTACAGGTGACCATAAATTATCACCATTTTATTTTTATGACTGTATAACGCAAGAAACCCCTAAGGATTTAAAACATATGCCTAAATCAATGCCTAATGTAGATCAAATGCTTAAATGTACATCAAAAGATGAAAAGCAAAAAATTCTCACAGATTGGTACAATAATCATTTTGTGGAATTTGTGAAAAAACGTCAACAGGAAACAAATGTGAGCGAGAAAGTGCTTTTAATAACTTCGGAGAGTATGCTTGCAGTTCATGCAAAAAATATCACGCAAAATGACAATTTCGAGTTTATTACAGGAAACAATTTGTGTTCAAAAAATACGATAATTTTATACATAACATACGTCAGAAAATAGGAATCAAAAGTAAAGAGGTATTTCAAGATTTTTGCAAATCTTACGATATAAACGTTTATGTTACAACGATTAACAAGGCATGGGATGACATTCAGTGTAAATATATCATAAAAACATTTAACGACTATTTGTCAGATTTTTGTACAGAAGAAAATACAACGGCAACATCTTCAGTTAATCAGACACCAAAGTTAATTATAAATGTAACTGAAGAAGATACCACACTTAAGGAAATATCAGCACAAGTAGAAGAACAATCAAAAACAGAAGAAGTGTTGGAGAATACAGAGAAGAAGTTACCCCTTCAGATGATATAATAAAAGATCTCAATTCTCATAAAAAAGATAAAGAAAAAGAACATCAAAAACAGCAGGATAATGATACAGCAGAATAATGAAGAAATTACAGGTAGAGTAAATACAATTTTTAAAAAATCAAGGATTTATGTAAATAACGATTGTATTCTTTCAGACAATTTCACAAAATGTTCGAACTTTGGACAAAAAATCGATGGAAGAGAATGTCAACAACTGGAAAGCACAGGATCCGCAGATAACATTATAAGTGTTGAAGACAATGTAGAATCAAGCCCACTAAATTTAGCTAACAAAGTAGAAGTACACGTAAAAGACGTTCTTAGGGTAATGGAATCATCTGATACGAGTTACGAGGAGGCAAATTTGTATAGTTTTTTGGTACATTATAGTACCAAACTTTTGATATTTTGATATTTTTGATATTTTTGATACTTTTGATATTTTTAACACAATACGCAAGATGGAATATTCAAATTTTATATATGAAACTTAATATTTAATATTTAAAATTTAGCTTTGTATTACTCATTGTTAGCTGCAACTGTCAAATGAGTAATGTTTTTTTTTTTGGCGAAACGATTTTAATTAGGATTTAAAATTAATATACATGATGATGTATTTTATTGCCGTTAATAGCTGCAAAAAGTTGAAATAATCATAAAAAAAGATCTATAAGTATATGCCGCAAAATCAGTTTCTAGAAAACAAGAAAAACTTAAGAACATATTAAATTTACTCTACACCTTTATTTATGTGAGAAAATAGATGTATATTTATCGGTAAATTTATTTCTGTGAATAAAATTTTAATATTAATGTTTTAATATTGTCTAAAATTGAGAATGTGCAGGTAGTTTTTAGTTCTATTTATACATATATACGTATATAAGCAAAACGTTTTTAATTTGATTTGCAAGTTTAGTAAAGTAAAATACATAAAATTAATTACGAAATTAAACAATATACTTATTTTGAACAGAAGAATATACTTTGTTCTTGTTAGTAAAAAAAATGTTGAAAATTTTAATGCATATTAAGAAACTTGTTATAAGCTAAAAATATTTAAAATGATACATATTTTTAACACATTTATGTAAACTCGAGAAACGTTTTCACACTCTTAAAAGTAATGAGTATAAAAGAATTAAAAGTATTACATTTGAATTATATAAATAAAATTATTTGTACATTATAAAATTTCTCATATTTTTGTTTAAATGACTCGATTTTGACTTAATGTAAAATTATGATAAATATAAAATAACCATAAAAAAATAATTATGCATATATAAAGTACAGGTTTTGAGAGTTTCTTATTTAATGAAAAATCTCTTGGTTTTTTTTTTAATTTTTGTGCATGTCTTTTGTATTTATCTCATCATCCTTTTCTTCAAAATTTAGTTTAACGTCAGGGAAGAGATTTTAGTTTTCGAAATAAATCTGAATACAATTTTTTCATAATTTTCTTTTGACATCACTATATTTTAAATTGTATAAGCAATATATTCAGTATAATATATTAGCCGATATATATTATTGTGAGTTGAAATATGACTGTTCGATATTGTTTTTCTTTGTGATTGTTTGAAAAGTTCTTAAGAGCAATTATATCCGCGACAACTCTCTACAATTATTCTCATTGCTTCGACAATTTCATATTGTGTGGCACAAATTTGCAAAGTCTCTTCTTTCTCTCTTCGAAGTCAGTAAAATTTTGAAGTCAGCAAACCGAAGTTTTGTGTAAAAATAATCTTTAAATATAAATTATTATGTCAGTTGAAAAAGCTAACAGAAATAATAAAAAACGTATTCTTTCGGTTAAACAAAAATTTGATGAAACGTGTCCTAAACAAGATAGTGATACTACAAATAAAATGGCTGCTGAATATAATGTTTGTCGAAATACTGTGTGTCCGTAATATTAAATGTTCTAAAAGTCCAATAAATCAATCAATCAACCAAGTAGTAGATCTGGACTAAAAAAAGCGTAATCAGCATAAAATCTTGGAGAACAAGTTATATAAGTGGTTCCGACAATGCAAAGAAGCTGGAAATAAGATTGACTTTTCGCAGTTTCAAGCTACAGGATTCGAACTTATGCATGACTATAGTGCACCAAACACAAATGACGCCAGACGCGTGTGGTTATATCGTTGTTTCAAATATTTCGAAAAACAGGAATATTATCCTCAACCTGCTAAAAATGTTATTTAAGAGCTCACGCACCGATTGGAGAAGAAGAACATTAAAAAAGACAATGTTTATATTATGTTTAAAACAAAATTCACGTGGAAGTCTTCTTATACCAGAAAGCGAGAAGAAAATTGACATGAAAAATTAAAAGGCTAATTTAAGCCGATATTCTCATCTAACTTTTCTTTTGCGTATATATTCATTAGACGAATGAAGATGCGATCAATTGTAATTGGACGTTCGTGCGAAAACGTATTCGTGACGGAATTTTAGAAAGACACGCGACTTCTATAACATATCTGTATGTATATATTACATGTATACTCGCGACGAAATGAAAAAAGTTTTCATCTACTGAATGTAGCTCGTCAATCCATCATAACTTTTCACATAACACTTAACAAGAAAGGTGGGGTTGATCATAAGGAATGTTTTAATATCAGCAATCATAGTTTAATGGCAGTTTCTTCGATTAACATGAAAATTGAAAAATAAGTAGAAAAATTATATATATTTTTCTAATTTCGTAAATCTTTATTGATATTCTGTATCTTGATTTTGCGTATACTATTTTTCGAGCAATCTATAATCAATAATAAATGTATAATATATTAATTTTTGAAATACATAAGTTATGTGTAAAAAAATGTGTTACATTTTATTTATGATCTATGTAATTAAATCCATTAATCTAAATAAATAAAATTTATTAACAAATATAAATCAAGAAAAGCGATTCTGTGTAAAAGCGAGATGGATTACGTGATATGTAGAACGATGACGAGATACCGAGAACACGAAAATTATTCGAAAACTGTCATTCAGAACAGTAGATATGTGCTCTAACTTAGTAATGAAATCACTGAAATACACAGCATCACCTCGTGAGACTGCGATCTAATCAACAACAATCTCTAGCTACAAAGCGATGAGTGACAACTTAATCTAAGTTGCACATTGGTAGCAGAATGCATTATAAATGCATAGTATTTTCTCGCGTATTTTTGATATCTATTTTCCTATATTTTTATCATTATCGTTAAATGACATTTTTTAATAATTAAAAAATAAAAATATAAATAAAAAATAAAATAAAAAATATAAATTAATAAAATAAGTATAAATTGTGTTTAACAAAAGTTATTTTTGGCTCTTGCAACAATAAAAAAAAGTTTTTTCTGAATAATTATTTTGATATATTCCAATTCTAACATACAGATTAAATATGCTGCAGAATACACGGGATATATATTTTAAATAGAACGCATAAATACTCTTTCGCGAACAATTTCAAAGACCGTGCTGACCCACTTGACCTAATCGCATGCACTTGCATCCATAAATTGTCGCGACCTGCAAGATCCCGGTCGTAAAGATGTGTCAACAATCGCTGGAATAACTTTCTAAATCCCGCGACGAGAAGATCGTGTAAAACACGCGCTATCTAATCACAACGACGCATTTCCCGCGATCGATAAGACTTTACAAAAGCGAATTCCATCTGACAATTCGACACTCGAAACCGGAAAGAAACGAGAGATACTATGTTGTGAATCAAATGCGATGATTACAAAGCTACTGTGAGTAAATTCAGCGAATGTGCGGCGAAGGAATTATCTTACGAATAAATTGATAAGACCGGTTGCTACTGTACAATCTCTCTCTAGGTGTGCAATCTCCTTTGATAAGCACGTAAAATGTGTTAATAGAAATTCCAATCGAAATTCGCGTTTCTGCGCGCATAAATTGGAAGTGCAACTAAATTGGAGATTATGAAATTTCATCCAGAAAGCAGCAGCATAGTTACTATAATAGTTGTATTCTGTTTAATTTGTTTACCTACAAAAACTCATCCATCTCATATATAATTTCGAATAATTGCGATATATAATTATATAAAAAAAATTATTTCCTTATAGAGATTTTATATGTTATTTATATTTAATTATATTGTTTATAATTTTGTTTTTAACCTATTTTACATTTACATTCAATTGTCATTTATTTTTTATAACTTAAATTTGATTTGCCTATTCCTCATATTTAATATTCAAATCTAGCAAGAGTATCTTCCTTATCTTTTCTTTAAAAAAAATAATTTTGTTTATATTTAATTCCAATTAATTTGTCATCCTCATTCTAATGATAATTCATTCATCTTATTTTATATCTAGATTTTTATTAATTATTACTAGCGAACCTTAAGGATTATTATCCATTTTTTTTATATTTAAATCTAAACTTAGTAATTTAATTTGTACTTCCAATAATGTTATATTAATAAATTTATAACAACTTGTCAGAGATTATAATAAGCGTTGAAGACAAATTCAGGACAAATTAAAGTTTCATGTCCGACTTTCCAAATTTCGATTTCACACGAAATTCTACAGTGTTCCCTCGCATATACGTGGAGTGAAGAATCATCATTAATAGGTGGGCCATATTAATCGAAAGCCTTATTCGGAATGATCGACTTCTCGCGTGTGCGGCCATGCATGCGTTTCACATCCGATTAACGTGTAAAGCCCGTAAACATGTGCGACTTTCTACTTTTCTCCGCCAGCAGGATTGTCGAACGAACCGGCATACATCCCAGATTCCACGGTGCATATATGTATGTTGCAGCGGGACTTTCGATGCAACGATACGGTGCGATGTACCGATGAAGCGCGCCAAAGAGTGATTAGTCGATATGCTGTTGCGTCGATTAATCCTCTCAATCACGACGTCGATTATATAAAAACGCTTATGCATCCAACTCGATCGTTATAAGAGCAATAAAATGAAATGACTATTGTGTAATAGCGATATGCAAAAAACACGCGAGAAAACTGCCTGTTAAAAATTGTCCCGTCAAAATGCATCTATATTTTGTGAATGATAAAAATATAATTATTATATTTTATTTTTCTTATTCGTTAAATAAATAAAATAAAATAATATTGGTATTAATAATAAAATTATGATTATATTTTTATTATTATGTCATTTTATTAATATTGTATTTTTATAATAATAAAAATATAATTACGTTTGATAAAAATACAATAATTTATTAATTTAATAAGTTGTGTAAAAATAAAAAATCTTGATTACACTTTTTGTATCATATATTAAATAAAAACGCAAATACGAGAAAAATTAGGACAAAAATGTTGAAAAGAATGAGAAGATCGCTTTCAAAGAATATCCATGGTCACGGGAGAAGAGAATCGAAGGTGTTATTCGCGAAAGACGGATGTGAGATTCCGG